GAACCCCCAGCCTCTGAGCTGAAATGGTCAGACTCCTGACCTCCAACCTCCATCCATACCCATTGTATCTTCGCTGCCCCCACCCAAATCCTAATAACCTGACCTCACAGGCCTCAGACACATCGGGATCCCCAATCCTCTGACCGCTCCCCAATTCCCCAAGCGCCCAGACTGCCAGACCCCAAGCTCCAGCATTGCCACCGGCCCCTTCCATTTCACATGTCCTCCAACTTCCAGTACCTCAATTCTGCACACCCAACTGCACCCCAGCCCAGCTCACAGGTCCTCACGGGGTATCCTGGCCCCCACCCCCGGCTGCAGAACACTAATCCTTAGGGGTGAATTTCCCAGCATTCCAAATTTCTCTCAGGCTGGGTATCAATCTCAGTGTGTGTGAGAGGGCAGGGGAGGAAGGGGAGAGTAAGTGAGCACTGTTCATATATCAGGAAAGCGTTACAGCTGCCCACTGGGCCACCAAGGCCTGCCTCAGTTTCCCCACTTGTGTGATGAACCCGAGACCTAAGCCCCTTCCCTTGGCCACCTTCACAGGGCTTTTGCCCCACCCTTGTTCAGCCCTACCAAACCCAGCCCTGGGGAAACCAGTGCCAAGTTCCAAGACTCTGTCACCACTCCCAGAGTTCCTGAATGGTCCTAGCAAAACACCCAGATCCTGCGGGGTCCTCTTGTCTCCTCTGTGTCTCTCTGGATTCTCATTTTCTACCCCCTCATCTTCACGTGGGGGGCTTGGTTTGCAGTCGCCTGAGATCAACCCAAAGACGTGCCATCCAAGCCTGCCAAGTGCAGCTGTAGAAGGGTCTCACTTCCATGAAGATTTCTTTCTTTTTCTTTTCTTCCTTCCTTCTTTCCCAAACCCACTACCATCAAGTCAATTCCAGCTCATACCGCCCCTCAAGAGGGTTTCCACTGAGAAGCATGTGGTGGGTTTGAACCACCAACCTCGTGAGTAGCACCCGCCCCCCAGCCCCACACTCAGCCCCCAGCTCTACGAGGGCACCTTTCTCAGAAAGCCCTGTAATGCACACTTCTACCCACGGGCTCGTCATGAGGCAGGCTGGACTCAAGGGCATGGGTTTGTTTTTATCACATCATTGTCACTCGGTCTTCCCTCATTCCTTCACCTATCTTGTTGAGGTTTTTTATTTTTTCGAAATTGGCGTGACTCTTGAGAGTCCTTGATCCAGGTCGTCCAGCAGTAGATCGCTGGCAGAGAGCGGTGTGTGTGACAGGGGCATCTCCTGGTGGGCAGGGTCATTAGGGGGACTTCTGGGAAGAGGGGCTTGGGAAGCCTAGCTTTGCAGGATGGGAAGGAGTCAGGAAAGAAGGGCCGATTGTGAGGGTGGACTGTGAGGCTGGCACAGAGCCCTGGCAGACAGGAGCCCAGACAAGGCCCCCTCTGGGTCTCTGTCCTTTCTCTCTCTGGGCTTCATCTCTCTCCCTCCCTCTAGATCTCTGTCTCTCTCTGGGTCTCTGTCCCTCCCTACCCACCCGCCTCTTTAGGCCTCTCTTCCCCTCCCTCAGTATCCCTCTCTTAGGGTCCCTGTCTCCCTCTGCCCCTCCTCAATTGTCTGGAGTGTGTGTGGGGGGTGTCTTCCTAAAGGCAGCTCTCGGTGTGTTGGTCTGTCTCAGCCTGTTTCTCACTGTGTGTTGGCTCCCACTCCCTCCCCCCACGCAGACTTCCCCTGGCCCTGCAGAACAAATAGGCTTTGATGGCCAGCCCCTGAGGGCGGGTGGAAGCAGGCAGCTGTGTGTGTGTATGTGTGTGTGTGTGTGGGGGGGGGTGACCCCCGTCCTGGGCCCAGAGTCAGACTGTTAAGTGCACTGGAAGTCTGAGCACCGAGGGTCTTCAAGGGGAGCCTGGGGCACTGGAGTGCCAGGGGGGAGGCTGAGGCAGGGCACCGCTGAGCCACCTCCTGGTCCGTCCACCACAGGAAAAGGCGGACCTTGGAGAGCTCAACTTCTCCCTCTGCTACCTCCCCACGGCCGGGCGCCTCACGGTGACCATCATCAAAGCCTCTAACCTCAAAGCAATGGACCTCACCGGCTTCTCAGGTGGGCACTGCCCCCTCCCCCTCCTAGCCTCCCTACCCCCACACAGACGTCTCAGTCTGAGGAAGGAGGGCTGGTGGAGCCTGAACTACTGGTCTGAGGGAGGAGGGCTGGGGGTCAGGACTCCTG